GGAGTCTTGCTTATAATATAGCATTTGATTTATTCTAAGTCAGCATGAGTCCCATGGTGGGTGAGTGGGGAGACAGGATATACATCTAACAAATAAATATTAAAGAGATTAGCTGTTCAAATTCTTCTGAAATATCAACACATGTTCCATTTGTTTTGCATCTGTTCAACCATATTCAGGTAACAGTTAATGATTGTTTAGCTTTGCTACCATGAGGACAATTATAAAGTTCATCCAACTTACATCTCTTCTGCAAAGATGAAATAATTGGAAGGGTGATGGGAACATGTTCAATTTCAAACCCTTGATCAGTTATTCGGTGTAATCGTCCACGGAGCTTAACATTTTTCTCTATAAATTCTGAAGGTATTTCCAAGGCATTTGTGAATTTGGTTGTCTATTCATAAAAGGAAGAAAGTAGGGACAAGAAAAACATGACAAAATGAATACAAGAAGGGTAACATTATACTAGACTTCTGTAATATATGCATGACTGTGCAGCAAAACCTTTAATCATCCATTAAAAAGGCTCACACTATGGCAAATTCTCATTTTATAAACTGGTCTTATGACACTAAAGTACCCTTGGCTCTGCAATCCACACCCATATATTACCTACTACTGTTGTTGCTGTTGTTGTGTGCCTTCCAGTCATTTCCAACATATGGCAACCCTAAACTGGACCTAAATACAGTGAGCCCTTGATATCTACTGGGGTTTGGTTCCAAGACCCCACATGAATACTAAAATCCGTGAAGTCTCAAGTCCCATCAATACAATGGCATAGTATAATGGTGTAAAAACGCAAAATGGCCCTACCAATGTTCTACCCTGCAACTTTGGAGCATTTCCCTTGTGGATTCTTAAGTCACAATCCATATCACAAATGAAAAACAGCTGGGGTGGGGGTTTAATTGTGAAGCCATGGGTGTCAAAACTTTGAAAGATCAGTGTATAGCAGGAAGGGAGGAAGCTGGTGGTTGGTCCAGGGTCTTTATGTCAGAATCATCCAGGCCATTGTATTTGCAATTAAATAGGTGGTCATGAAAGCTGTGGAGAAGGCTGAAAGGAAGAGTATCAACTCATTTTAAGTGTGGTACTAGAGGAGGCTTTTATAGACACCATGGGCTTCCAAAAAGACAAGTCAATGGGCCTTATAGCAAATCAAGTCTGTACTCTCACTAGAAGCCAAAAGGGTAAGCTGAGGCTTTTGTGCTTTAGAAATATAAATGAGACAATGTGACTCACTGGGAAAAAATAATGTTGGGGAAAGTAGAAGGCAATAGGAAAAGAGAAAGACCACATTAGAGATGGATGCTTCCATTAAGGAAGCCACAGTCCTGAGTTTGCAAGACCTCAACAGGACTGTTAATGACTGGACTCTTGGAGGTGTCTCAGAGGTCTCTCATTCATAAGGTGACAGTAAGTCAGAAAGTGATTGATGGGGAAAAAAGAACAAGCAGGGGCTGCACAAATAGCAGGAGTTTCTCATTAGACTGACTCTTGTATATGCTGCTCATATATTATCTTGCCTCTAGATTAAGACAGGCCACCAGGGTTTCATTTATTTCCCAAATCTTCCTTTTGTTCTGTGAGAACTCTTCATTGAAGCAGAAGACCTTGCAGAGACTGGCATCTGAAGGTTTTGTCAATAAACAAAATAAAACAACTCTGGGGAATGTTTCCAATCTGACATTTCAGGGTCTAAAAGTAACTGACATATCTGCAAAGAAGATATTTAAAGGAGATATGTAGTCACCTTAGGCCCCATATTGGAACAAAGGTGGGATAGAAATAAATACTCTTAGAAGAATATCTTCAAACTAAACATTTGTGGCAATAAGATCTGGTATGGAATTTTATTGCTCTTATACTTTTAGCGGCAAATGGCTGTAGATGTCTTATAATCCTAAACATTGTTCCACTCAACCCACAACTTACCAGTTTAACACTCTTTGCAAGTAAAATCACTCCAGCTATTGCCATTCCAGTGCTGATATTCTGTAGAAAATAATATAATAACTTTCATCATTGGCACCTAGAGATATTTCCACTTAAATAGAGAAAGACAAATATGCAGCAAAGTTGCCACAATACATGGTCAAAAAGGGTTCACATAAAGCAATCAAAATCAACTAGTTCTGATTTTTTTCCCCATTAAAAACAGAGCAGGTCCATAACAAATCAAGAACATTCTGGGGAACAAAAGAAAACTATTGGAGTCTGCAGTTCTATACACATAAGCTTGAGAGTAGGCCCCACTTAACCAGTTTTATTTTTGAGCTGTTTAGAACTATCCATTAAGACTGCAAGTCTAATGCATACTTTGCTGAGATAGATTTATTTGATGGCAAACATGGATAGGTTTGTGCCAAAATATTTATGGGGGTCACCATACGTCAACAGGCAACTTGAAGGCACATATACACAAGTCACCTTAAGATCAGTGGTACTTGCTTCTGCATTAATGTGTTTATGGGGATGGGCTATATTTTGAAGATGGTCTTCATCATGCTATATACTAAACTACAAAAGACAGGCAGGCAGAATTTGTTCCAAAAGGTTTTCATTCTGAAACTGAACCAGTCACTAAAAATTAAGGAAACCATGCAACATCAGGATACTTATCCGGTCTAATTTGTGTTTCCTGATAGCTTCTATGCTGTTTGATTGGGATTCCATAGAGAAATGGTCCAATGCAATCTCAGGGGCCACCATAACTACTGGTACCAAGAACCCTGCTCTTCCATCAAGTGTACCTGCAGCCTTTTAATGAGTTCATCCCTTCTAGAATGAGATAGCCAAATGGACAAGGTATCCCAAATAGACTATCACTATATGCTCTATGTGGGGCTACCCTAGAAAGCTGTAGCTAGTTTAACATGGTTGCCAATACACTTCCAGGATGAATTCAAGCTGCTTGTGATGACATTTAAAGACCTTGATACTTGAGGGATTGCCTGTCTCTATGTACCTGGCTGATGATTGATTTATGCAGAAGGGAGGCTTCTATATGGGAGGGCTTTCTCAAGCATGGCAAACCAACTGTAAAATACCCTCCCCTTGGATGCTCAATTGGCAACAATCTGGTTTAATTTAGAGACCAAGTAAAAACATGGCTGTTTAAATCCTTTCAGCCTCAATGATTTATCTAAAATGCTAGCGAACATACATGGTTTTGAAAGAGTTTTAAATTTTTAAACTTGATTTTAACTTGTTAATCATACTTACCTGTTTTTAACGTATTTAAATTATTTGTATTGTTTTAGACTGTTTAACTTGTTTACATTACTTGTTTATATTACTTATATGCTGCCATGAGATCTTTTGATACAGGACAGGATAAAATAAATATTTTAACCATGCAGTTGGACACAAAATGAGGAGGGAGGATAGGACTGTGCAGTTGGAAAGTTGATAGTTGTGCAGTTTGAGAAATGAAGAAAAAAATTAAACACAAGTTATGCACTGGAGGGCAGCACATCGAAGTGGAAATGTTTACTGTTTTGGGCACACAGAGACCCCACCTCTGCAGAAGCTCTGAAGGTAATCAAATTAAAGGAGTATGTATACAGAAAAAAAAATATTTATTTGAAAGAGTAGCACTAGTTTGAACAGAAGAGCCAATGTGGTGTAGTGGTTTGAGCATTGAACTATGACTGGAAACCAGAGTTCAAATCCCTGCTCAGCCATAGAAACTCACTAGGTTACCTTATCACAGACTCTCAGCCTAAGAGAAAGGCAAAGGCAAACCTCCTCTGAACAAATCTTGCCAAGAAAATCCTGGGGTAGGGTCGCCTTAGGGTCAAAATAAGTTGAAAATGACACACAACAACAAAGTTTTAAGTGATAGGTAACTGAATTAAGGAGGATTCATAAATAAACTGCCACTTCACATCTGAAAATGATGGATTCCTATAAAGCAGGGGTCCTCAAACTATGGCCCGTGGGCCACATGCGGCCCACTGAGGACATTTATCCGGCCTGCCGGGTGTTTTTGCTGACGCTGCCTGTCCTGCTTAGCAGCCGACTTGTCCTGGGCCCCAGTGCACATGTCCAGTCCTCCCATGGTCTGAGGGACAGTGAACTGGCCCCCTGTTTAAAAAGTTTGAGGACTCCTGCTATAGAGAAACTACCAGTGATATAATATGTAAGTAAGGAGCAAAGAATACTTGTGTTGCACCTTTATTCCCTTAATAATAATAATAATAAT